ATGTGAAGTATAACATAAAATCTAGCCTAATAAAAGTTAGTGAGGCAAACAAAGAGTCCGTTTGGGTTATGTTAGAATTGGGTTATCACACAGTAACTCGTGTAGGTGTGATTTATAGGCCCCCAGGACAAATTGAAGAGTTAGATAATCAACTAGTTGAGGAAATAGCTAAAATGACAATGAAGGGGGAAGTTATCATCATGGGTGACTTTAATCTTCCTGATGTAAATTGGAAAAAAATATCTCTACTGCATCACCCTGATCTATAACTATAACAAAAAAATCAATAAGATTAGTTTGGCATGATCTCCTTGAAGTAAATCCATGTTGATCTTGAAATCCATGTGATTTTAGATGTTCAACAATGTAAGCAATTCTTTAACATGGTTTCCATCACTTTCCCCACTGCTTATTGGCCTATAGTTGCCTGACTCCTTTCTTGTGAATGGGCACAGCATTCGCTAACTTCAAATCTTCATGGACTACTCCTGTTAACAATGATTGGTTAAATAAATCTGTTGATGGTTTTGCTAGTACAACACTAAGCTCTTTTAATAACTTTGGGTGTATTCCATCAGGTCCCATCGACTTAGTTGTCTTTACTCTTGACAGTTGAAACAGAACCTCTTTCTCTGTAAACTCACATGTAACAAATTAGTCATTTGTCCTTTTTCATAACTGAGGCCCCTTTCCTTCATTTTCATCTGTAAATACTGAACAAAAATAGTAATTAAGGGAGTCAGCTAGACATTTATCTTCTTCTTCATACCTTCCTTCTTTTGTTTTTAATCTAACTAATCCTTTTCTCATTTATGTATCTAAAAAATGTTTTGTCCTCTTTCTTTACTGGCAATTTTCTCTTCTGTGTGTGATTCGGATGCCTTTATAACTTGCTAAGCCTCTTTCTGCCTAATCTTATAGATCTGCCTATCTTTCTCACTCTTGTTTTTATAGTTACTAAATGCAAACTTTTTGTTTTTTACTATTTTGGGCACATCTGCAGAGTACCACCGTGGTTTCTTAATTTTTTTCCTTTTACTTCCAAGCCTAATGTAATTTTCTGTTGCCTTCAGCAGTGCAACTTTTAAACAGGTTAATGGGGGAACTTAGTTCTCCCCCAGCCCCCACCCATGTACGGCAGGTGAGGTTGCTAAATGAAATTGGGGGGATAACTATTGTCCTCCCTCTGGGCCCCCACCCTTTTGTTCTCTCACCGGCCACCACACATGGGTGATGGGTGGGTGCCCTATATGACAATGGGGGGACCTATTGCCCTCCCCCCTGGACCCACCCATGGGTTACAGGTGGGGGCTAAATGTAAAAATACCCCCCCCAGGTGACTAAGGGGTCCTCAAGAACCTAGTCACCCCCCCTAAAAAAATTAAATAAATCCCTACCTACACCCCTCAACCTAAAAATAGTGAGAGGGGAGACAATAAAACTAAATACCTGTAAATAATTTAAAAAAAATACTTACCATTTGATTTCTTTTTTCTAAAACCTTCTTTTGCAGCCCCAAAAAAGGCCAAATAAAAATCCGTAATACCCGTCGAACTTATAAAAAAAAATAAAGCCACAATACTGTGTATTTTAGAACAATAAAAGTTTTTTGGCTACTTTACTGTACCAATCCTCTTTTTATTGCACTCTCTATGCCCTTTAAACTCTTTTACTTACTCCTGGCATTTTAAACGTTCCTGGTTACTTTTCCTTCCACTGGCATTTTTACTGTTCCAGTACTCCAAGAAATCCCAGGTGGGGATCATAACGCTTCCATCCATTGAGCAGTACCTCTGCTCTATCTTTGTGAGTATTATTTTATCTTGTATTTTACTCTCTTACTCCATCACAATTGAGAGCACTATTGTTGCCTTTTACCTTTCTCTCTTGGAGCTTTGGCCTACCAGACGGTGTTGACGGACGCACTTCCGCTGCAGACACGCGGCGGTAAGAGAGGACCTCGGCCGGCCCCCGGGTAAGGTAAGTACCACTACATAATCATAGTCAGGATACTAACACAACAGAGGTTATGATAACCAGACTGCAGCATCTCTTTTTCATATGATATGACTTTATGAGACTGTGGTTACCACGTACAATATGGGAACTGTCGGGGTCCAAACAGTCAAATCTTTATCCTATGATATCTCTTATACAGCTCATTTTATTGGTCCAAAGAATACCCATAACTAATAATAAGCACTTTTACTATCCAAAGATATTTAAAATTAGAAACAAATGAATGCAAAATTTACACATGAAACATTAAAAAAATATAAATTTAATTTATTATAACTAGAAGACATGTATAAACCAATGTGAAACTCATTTAAAACATAACATACAAAAGTGGCTAGACATGCAAACCAACATTTTAGAACCATGTTTAACATTTTACCCTAAACAACATGACACGTTTCTGTTTTAAAACATTTTGTTTTTAAACTTGTCCTTGTTCCATTTGCCTTTCAGTACAAAATGTATTAAAATGGTAGATATATAAGGCACATCCCAATCCAGACAAAGAAATTATTCTATTTATTTTTTTTATTTTTATGTACATGTATTTGTCTTTGTTGTTCTATTTTTCATACTTGGTGTTGTGTATATATATATATATATATATATGTATGGACCAGGGATAGGCAACCTTTGGCACACCAGTTGTTGTAGACTGCATCTTCCATATTGCTCTTACAGCCATAATGCTAGCAAAGCATCAGGGAAAATGTAGACTACAACATCTGGAATGTTGAATGTTGCCTACCCCTGATCTGGACTATCAAAAGAAAGCCCAAAGCATGTTTTTAAAAAATTATATAATAATATATGTTTGGGGGCGCATTCATGTATACCTTATTGCTGTGGAGTGCAGCCATATGCCACAATCATGTATACACTAATTGCAACAATTCTTCAAATTCTTGCAAAATTTTCCCTTGTTCGGAAGCCAACTTAGCCGTAATTTTGCAGGTGCTATAAAAACTGCCAGGGACATTTTCTCCTTTACTGTTGTGTAGAGAGGTAGAGGATGTTATAAAAATGAATAAAGGGCATACAGTAAAACAGGATACTGAGATAAAATAAAGCATTGTATTGATGAAATGTGTATGGGGATGACAAAAAACAAGGATATGTAAATAAATATAAAGGTTGGAGGGGCATACACAATGGGGCCTGATGTTAAATGTAAATGGAGGGGTTGGACAAAAAAATAGGGGTTATATGGAACAATATAAGGAGGAACATAAACAAATGGGTCATGTATGAAAAATGTGTGAGTATTATGTGGGTGGATATATCAACAAAGCTCCCCAACACCTTTTCAAACCCCTACGTGGTCCTCCACAATGACCTCCCTCACTTTCACCCTGCATACACACTTTTATCCCCTATACCCACCTTCCATATACACAGTTACCCCACATACACAGTCACCCCCATACACACAGTTACCCCACATACACAGTTACCCCTGTACACACAGTCACCTCCCCATATACACAGTCACCCCCATACACACAGTTACCCCACATACACACAGTTACCCCACATACACAGTCACCCCCATACACACAGTCACACTCAACTGACAGACTTACAAAAAAACACTATGTAGAAATCAAGGCCACAAGAATTCCCCAAGGCATTTGTGAGAGGAAGATTGTAAACTATGTGGGGACAATGTCAGTGCTACATATTCAGAAATGTTATTTATTTACAACATTTTTTCTTATCTGCAACTTCACTATTTTAAATTATTTTTTAAAAAGCATTTCAATTCAACCAAAATTTTCATTTTTGCTCCCATTAAATAATGTGTAATTTATGCATGCTGAAATGAAAAATACATTTCCAATATTTCTGGAGATGTTTTTTCTTTCCACAACTACATGGTAGTTAACTCATGTTTACGCTTAAACTACCGCAAATATAATGCCCAATTTTAAAGATGCTACATTTACTATATTATGACTGTACCATATTTTTCTAACTGGGACTTT